ATAAATTAGAAAGGAAATATGATCTTTTCAAACTTCTTTTCAGAAATATATCTTAAGAGAATAACATTGCAAAGTGATGAACCATAAATCATGATTCTCAAATTCAAGTGTGGACGATATCAATTGTCATATGGATTTGTTTAAGATTCAAAGACTTCATAGGAAGGGAAGCTAAATTATTGCGGGCTCATTTTTTCCTTTTTATCAATTTTGGCAGACATTACGCATCTTTTGATTTTTTGATACACCTTATGCATCTTATAATTATTTGGTGTACATTGCACATCTTTTTATTTTGGTCTCATTTTGTGTCTATATAACCAAATGATACCAAAAATGCTCCAATTCAAGCCAAAGGGGCCAAAAGCAATGACTTTATATATATTTGGATCTTCTAGAATATTAATTAGATGTTTAGAAGATTTCTAAATATAAGATGCTTATAGTCAAATCGAGTGGCTCAATAAGACAAATCCAATGAGCACAAAATTGCTTAATTTTGATATCATTAAAGCACTTAAATGCTTCACGAACACTCCATGATCAAGGAAATCAATATGGGTCGTCCGATGGAGCACTCCAAATTTTTCCTAGATATTCTCTATATTTTTGAAGCATGTCACTCTTAAAATCTATAACTAGACACCTCCTTACATAAAGGGGACTATTGAAGGCTTAACCTTGGGCTAAAGATTCAAGAGAGAAATAAGGCATGAATCTTGGAGCACAACTGCCAGCAAACGCTCACCACACGACTACCGCCATCAGACTTTCAATGGTTGATCATCGTCAAATGTCAACCTGATCACCGATGTCCGATCTTAGCTAGGCTATTACTATATGACCTCTACCTGACCATCATAGTTGGACCTTTGCCTCATCGTCACTATAAGGACTTTGCCTAACCTTGCTTGCCCAATAATGGTCCCTTTAATTAGTGGCACCCTCTAGCTATGGTCCTCAAGCCACTATTGCCTGCCAATTATGGTCCCTCTGTCATCAACCGCTTGACTACAATCCCTTCAACATCGGTCACTCAACTACAATCGCTTAGACCTTCGTCACCTAACTACGGTCCCTCTGTACCTCTTTTGCCCCACTACAGTCCTTCTCACTATGGTCCTCACACCAACATCGCATAATTACAATCCCTTTAACCTCCTTCGCCTGACTACGGTCCCTCCAACCTCTGTCGGCCCAACTATAGCCCCTCCGACCGACATCACCCGACTATGATCCCTCCGAGTTTTACCGCCCAACCATAGTCCCTTCAACCTCTATTGTCCAATTAATGCCCCTTTGATCATCATCTTTCCACTATAGTTATTATGACTATATTCCATTATTTCCACACTAGAGAGCCTCCAACCACTGTCACTCCACTATAGTCCTTCAAACTACAATTATCAGACCATCATTTGTCGATTATGGTCCCTCTGAACTCTATTTCCCTCTAACTATGGTCCTTCGTACCATCATCATCCACCAACTATGGTCCATGTGACCTCCATCACCCGACAATAGTTTCTCCCATCTTGGTCACCCGACTACGATCCTTCTAACCTATATCTCCCACTAACCTATGGTCCTTAGGCCATCATCATTCAACTACAGTAATTCCAACCTACATTGTTATCTAACTATGACCCTCAATCACCATTGTCTAACTATAATCCTCCAACTTGAGTCGCATGACCACAGTCCAACGAACTAAATGAAGAAGCCAAAGATCTCTTTAGAATCACTCTCATGTCATTTGATTCTTTAAACTCCAACTATGTAATGTGCTATATAAGATATATTTTTATTGCATTATGCCAATGCATTCCCTTGAGAAAGGGCATCATCAGTAATCAATGAAAAATAGTTGTGGAATCTTTAATTGGGCAAAGCCTAGTGATTTTTTCCTTTTTAGGTTTTCTACGTAAAAATTTCGGTGCATCTTATAATTATTTGACTTATCTTTCTTGCTAGTTTGTACGTTAGATCTTCATCGAAAGCTAAAATATTAAACTTTTTATCTCTCTATCATTATTAATGTTTTTGGCATATAATAATTTAATACCATCTATCAAAAAAAATTTATTGGCTGGGGGTAACCATTGCTACAATCTTTAAAGATTATTCAAATCAACATCATAGGTATGGTTGTGGCGGGATAGTTCATTTACCATGATCTATTATCAGGTCTGAAAGGAGTAGTTCAATATTGAGGGCAACCTCATTATAATAACAAACATGAATTGTTATATCTCCACTCAACTATCATCCATTGCTGCATCAATTTTGTGAAAAGCCTATTTGGACTGGGGGCAATCTTAACTGCAGCCTAATAGGGATATTTATATTGAAATCTTAAACATAGTTAAGACAAAGCAAGTTTGTCCAATGTTTTTAACTTCTAAGATAGTATTATTGGAAGCCATATTCCCAAAAACTTCCAACAAAAACAAGAATGCTTCAATTAAATCTCAAACAACATATAGTCTCCAACTAGACTTCTACTCTTTGGGTAAAGTCATAATCTCAACCTCAAAAAGGAAGTAATGGTAAAAAGAAAGATCAATCTTCATCTTTGATTTGAGATACACATGGCATTCAACCCTCCTAATTAAGGAATAATCAATCCCAGGAGATTCGATTCGACCTATTCCACATACGTTAATGTCATAGAGCAATATTTTGACAAACAATCTCAAATATGTAAAACATCCTTAGTGAATTTTCCTAGACCTCTTCCATGCAAGTTAACCTTATCAAGCAAATATTTTGGCAAACAATCTTGAAAAAGTCAAACATTCCTAGTGGATTTATTTCTACCTCGTCCATACAGTTAATGTCATCGAGTAATGCACTGACAAATAATCTTGGATAGATCAAACATCATTAGTGTATTTCTCTAACCTCTTTCATTCATGTTAAAGCCATCAAGTAATGTTTTGACAAACAACTTTGGATAGATCAACATCTTTGATTGATTCCTCCCATCAATCTCTTTCACACAGGTTAACACCATCAAGCAATGTTTTGGCAAACAACCTCAGATATGTTAAACATTTTTTTATGGATTTATCTCAATCTGTTCCACAATGTTAACGACATCAAACAATGCTTTGAAAAATAACATAAAAATAAATTAAATATATTTAATGGATTTCTCTGGACCTCTTTTATACATGTTAACACCATCGAACAATGCTATAACAAACAACCTCATTTAAGTCAAATATCCTTAGTGAATTTCATCGAACTTCCATGTGGGTTACCACCATCATGCATTAATCTTATAAACAACCTCGTACAAGTCAAACATCCTTAAATGAATTTCTCATAATGTCTTCTACACCAATTAGCACTTTGAAGCATCTCTATCAACACCATCTTTATGAAAAGATTAGAGCCTCACCACTGCCAAACCTCAAGTAAATTAACATCGTTAGTGTGTCACTAGACTACTACTAACCATATATAATTGATTACTTCATTTCCTTCTTTTATGAAGTTTTATTAAAAAAATTCTCTTTTTTTTTTTGGATTTTTTCTTGCATTAGAAAAAATTTTAAAGGAAATAATTGAAATAAAAATTTATTTATTAAAAATACTGAAAACAAAAGGGGGCCCACATGCCAGCGACCAATTAATTTGGCCACAAGGCAGCATCTGGTCAACGTTCGCCTCGAATAATCCAATTTGGACCTTTTTTGTATCCTCAAGATTATTTTTTTATTTTTCGAACACAATTTTGATACTTCAGACACATTTTTTTTAATTTATAATTTTGTTGTGATAAATTTTTTAAAAAACTCCGACACATTTTTTTACGTTGCAAGCTTCAACGCTTAAGAATAGGAAGGCAACAAATACATCACCAAAAATCGCTTGATCAGGCATGAATCACATGCCATATCTAAGTTAGAAATTTAAAAAATTAAATATGAGACTTTCTGAACCATGATTTTAGTGAATTTATAGTCAACTTGAACGTATCGACAAAACGAACCAAATGATACTAAAATCTGTACAAAGCTCAAATGGGTCTAATACCATGACTAGTACATAATTGGATGCTTTAGAATATTAATTGAATGATCAAATAATCTCTAAATATAACACGCTTATAGTCTAATTGGGCGGCTCAACGTGACGAATCCAATGAGCCCAACATTACTTAATTCTAACACCATTAAGCTATTTAAATGCTTAATGAATGCTCCATGATCAAAGGAATTAATATGGTTCATGTAATGGAGCACTTCAAATTTTCCTTAAATCTTCAACATATTTATAAAACATGCTACTCTCAAAATTTGTAAATAAATCCCATCTCCTGTATGAATGGAGCCTTTAAGGCTTAGCCCTCAGGATAGAAATTCAAGAGAGCTATAAGGCATTAATCATGTAGCACCAACGACGACAAACCCTCACTGCCCGACGACTACCATTAGGTTTTTGCATGCTGATCTTCGTCAAACGTCCACACAATCGCTGTTGTTAAACCTAAGCTAGGCTATCACTTCATGACATATGTCTAACCATCATTGTCAAGCCTTCGCCCGGCCTTGGTTGCCAAACAATGGTCCCTTCGACTACGATCCTTAGATCACTAGTGCTAGCCAACTAAGGCACAAGAACCACCGTCGCCCTAATATGGCCCGTCTAGCCAATGTAGCCCCACTACATTCCTTTTGACTATAGTCCTCGAGCCATCGTCGCTTGAGTGCAATCCCTTCGACCTCCATCATCCAATTACAGTCCCTTCAGAGTTTCCATCATAAAAATTATGATGCCTCTTATAATTCTTGCACCTCTATTATCTATTTGTGCATTAGATCTCTCATCAAAACTAAGACGTTAAGCTCTTCATCTCTCTACCGCCGCAAATATCCTAGCACATAACAATTGTATTATCCCATTAACATTTATTAACATAGGCATATGAATAAAAAAATGATAATTGCCGGAGCTAATATCATTAATTAGGTAAAGATGGACAATGAAGATGATATGGAATATGTAAACAATATACCATTCTATATAACAAAAATTCCTCTAAAGCAGGCAATCAACTGCTCTAAATAAGGCAAATTTAATAAAAATTATCACAGCAGCAAACAGAACCAACTCATCCATCTTTGATATAGGATATCTACATCTAAAAACTTCTCAGGCAATTCCTAATGCCCTCACCTGATTTAACTTACATATATATATATATATATATATATATATCAATGAGAAAGCTTCCAAGATACTTAACATATATTAATTAACATTCAATTAACTACAAATGCAAGGAAACGGCTGTTGAATCTAAACAGATGTGGCATTTGGAGGAGCAATCCCCATTTTTTTGTAATAAGCCTTCTCTGCGTCTGCTAATCGTGTTTGGAATATCCCCCACTCTTTACGGCACCGCTCCCTAACCTGTCCATTCCATATGGGTTAAAAATTACAACGGTGTCACATGCTAGGAAAATGCGAAATTTATGCTAAAAGTGAAAAAAAAAGTAGTTTTTATTGATGTTTAACGAAATATATGAAAATGAGACTTTAGATGATAAAAGTAGAATAAATTGATTTTTATTGAAGTGCCACCCGAAATTTATGAAATTTTTGGTATATTATCTAGCTTTTCAATATTATCGGTCCGTCAACTAAAGTTTTCTACTGAATGCTTTGAACTCTCATTACAATACTTCCTTCGAAAATTTTAAGTGGCCCTATATCTAAATAAATATTTGCATTGGCTCAAGGAAATTGACTAAACCCAACTGACCAAATCAGCATTTGAGTTTTGACATAATTGAATCACGAATTCAGCTGAACCAGACATGACATGACCCAATAATAATTACCAGTCGGATTTTTTCTTTCGGCGTGGGTATTGTACCTAACAGGTATGACCGAGTGTGGAGACGAATGCTTTAATAAATAAGATGCATTTAAAGACAACATTTGAGTTTTAATAAAAATGTTTTGGTTAACATAAACTAACAAAACTGGCCTAGGTGTTGGCAAAACTCTTTACCTGAAGAGTTTGAGAAATATAGCTATAGACCTCTGAAAATTTTCATACATCTTCTTAAACTAACTGAAAATAACCAAAATAGCCACTGCTTAGTCTGGATAAATGTTGGTAACATACTTAATCAGAAAGGAGCAAAACACTCTCATTGTTCTTAAAGGATTATTGATAGGCATAATGAGCATTAATTCTTTTCGGACCCTTGTTATCAATTTCCATGATACTTTTGTGTCTTGTGATTTGTAGTACCACGTGAAAATGTTCATAAGATAAATTGTTTCTCTTTTGTTTCAATCAATGTAATGGAGATCATGAAACAAATCTCCAAAAAATCCAACAAAGTTAAATAAAAAAAATATGCCATTGTTAATAGGGACAGATTGAATGCAAATTGAAAAAGACAACTTGGATTGACTGTGAAATTGTGTGGTTGGCGATGGCAGAGTTTGTATGACAAGGATTCAATACTTGGATTGACTATGAAATTGTGAAATTGATATTAAGTTGAGGACGACTTTTCAGGCACAGGCAACTCAAAATGGAGAGGATTTTATCACAGGGAAGATCATGAGAAATACGGTTAGAGTGATGGGTGGGTTCAACAAAGGGTTGTAATACATAGAAGCTCTTGGCAATATGAGTTCCTATGGGGATGCTTATGGATAGGGGATCGCATGCAGTGGAAGATGTGTATGGATGCAAAAGAGCTTAGGTTGGGTTAGCAAAATACCAAAATAAGTTGGGAGCACAGCTCATGGTTTGTAGGTGTCAAGATAAAGCGATGTTATAGCAAGTAGGATAAAAGAGAATAGAGTGATGGAATCGACGAGCAACTATTATTTGATTATGATGCTAATTGATACTAACTAGAGAAATAAAAAAGAGAATCAAATATTAGAAGAGATTGGTCCAAGAGAGAGGCAAAGAGAATAACTAAAGTCTAAAAGGAAAAGGACATGTGAAATATCTTTAATTTAAGGATTCTAAAATTCATCATATGCGAACCCTGAATACTTATAGTAATGGATCACAAAAATAAGATCAATTATTTGAATTCAAATCTGCACTAAACTAATCCCTAATAGTTCAAGTACAAATAAAAACTTACCCAAAAGGATTAACCATTCACAAAATAAATAGACAAATCTAAAATGCCAGTTAAAGTCAAATAAATCCTACGATATTAGAAATAAATCTAAACCTAATTTCTTTTATGTATCAGATACCCTAAACATAGCAGATTACAGTAAATAAACAAAGCCTAAACCTAAAAAAAAAGCCTAAACCTATACTAGCTAATGAAATGTATAGCGCATCAGAAAAATCACAACAAAAGAACAGGGAGCAACAGTGGGTTCAAATCAGCGTACCCCTTCCCATGGAGCTTTGCCCTTTTCTGATTGGCCCTGATAAACACAAGAAAGATGGGGTAAAACTCTCAGCTCACAGCATTGAACAATTTATTATCAGTCTTCTGGACTATTTAATAGAGGGTACTAACCTGATTCCCCAGCGAAGGAACTACTTGATGCACAATCCATTGTGAATCCACGACTCCAATTTTTTCGTGGGCCGGCTGATTTTTGGATGATTAAAAAGTCTTGATGTAATATTTGAGAATGAGAGCAAATTATCTTCAGCAAAACATTGAAAGATTAAATAGGTACCTCCACACATTTCCTAAGCGCAAAATCAAGACCCCAGCCATGAACCAAGTCATTCTAAAACATTAGGACAGCAGTTAAATAACGTAGTGACTGAGCCATCAAGCAAACTACTAATACAGCCAATCCAAACCAAACTCACCTGAATCATATGCCATACACATTTCCATGCATTTCTTGAAAATACAGGCGCCATTATCTCAACAAAACTGAAATTAAGCATGCATATAATCAAAAGAAAGATGATATTGAAATGGATTGCATGAACATGCTCTATAACACGGACAAAGGAGCTTATAGATCTTACGCAGCACATGGCGGAAGGTGAGGATGAGTGCACCAACCAGGTCTCTCTTCTGTTTCCCTGTTGGAAATCATTTATTACATGCTTATCTTTTTGAAAGAGATTATGCGAATTTCTATTAACAAAATAGAAGACCGCTTTAGACTACAATACTAACTTGTGGACCTCACGGTCCCCTCTCCTCTTAGTCATTTGCCACGTTAGACCATTGTTTGGCTCCAAACCTGGCTGCGAGATCTCCAAATCATGTTTCTTCACCAATTCAATGTACCTAAGAAAACAGGCCAATTAGTTACAGAACCTGATCAATGGAGTTTATATTATATGGAAATGAATGGGAAATTGGACTTACCGCTCTGCATTAAAATGCTCTAGTCCTAGATCTTCATCCCAGATAAAGATATATTCATAAGGAGCAACTATGTCAGGGTGCAAAAAGCGTTTAGCATACCACCTGAAAAGATAATGCAGTCATAACTATCGCAACAGTTTCATGAGCTGATGTCCAACTATCAAAGGGGAAAAGATCAAAATGATTCCTTAATTTTTTATGAAGGAACAAAATAGTCCCCAACTATATTAAAGGACCATTTTGGTCCCTCAAATTTTTAAAAAAGAATAAAAATAATCCCATGGAGGTGCTACTAAAATAATCATTTAATATAGTTATGGACTATTTTGATCTTTAGCAAAGAGTCAAGCGACAATTTTTATCCCTTTCTCAACCATCAAATAATAATTTACCATTTAGTCTGCTTCCTTGCGCTCACATGAATTGCACGTTTTGACCATTCAAATTCATCCCATTCACTAGTCCGTCCATCATAATGAAACAATAATAATGTAAAATTTCCAGAGAACTGCAGCAAATTAATAACAGTAAGGCGAACCAGAAAGAGAGACATGAATACACATAACCATAGATAAATAAAAAAAAAAACGGACAATAGGGAGACTTCGTGTCCAAGATTTCTACTACACATCTAACATGCAATGTGGACTCCGATGAGATTAAATGATGTAACAAATATACAGTTTTCATTTTTAAAATGAATCATTAATTTAAAAAAAATTATTTACTACTTTCCATGAAACTGAAAACGACAATATCTAATTCAGGCAACAAGATTTTGACTTTTGCTATAAATTAACAAGAAAATAAAGAATCATTAGAGCTATAAATGCCATTCTATTTTTTTGGAACAACAACCCAAATTATAACTGACCTGACAAAAACCAATCACATTTTCAGTCAATGACAATAAAAAGAAGAGGAGAGGAAGAAAAACAATGAGAAAGCGAAAATAAGGGGAAAAAATCACTTATAAGCAAGCTTAGCGCTAGAACTTGGAGAAAGCCTTTGTCAAAATTCTTCAAGCGTCCAACTTGATGTCTGATTTGAATCTCGGAAGAAGGTTGATTTTTATATCCCAAAAACTAAGCATTACAATTTACTTTATGCATGCCGAAGATACACATTTAAATGCCTCACGAATTATTCTATAAACCAAAAAGAAGCAGAAGAATACACCAAGAACCAGAAGTATGCAACTACAATATGAGAAAGCCAAAAGGCCTGCAAAGATGGAAACAACTAAACAACTGGAACTAAAGTCCTGCTAAAGAAATCACCAAAACAGCTGCAGCTACAATCCCATCAAATCGTAGAAAGCTAAAGTCCATCAGAGAACCGCAAAGAAGCTACAATCAATAAATCAAAGTAGCAGCTCCACATCTCCATCGGATGAATATGAAAAAGCCACAGAGAAAATTTAACATCACTTTTGCCAGACTTAAATTAATTTAGCTCGGCCAACTTATTTAGTGAAATTCTTCCTATAAAATTGAGCACAGTTGATGCGTTTCTTGTAGAGATATCCATGAATGATAACTACAGAATTTTGAGGAAAACAATCATATTCACAGTTCCCCAACGACATAAACCAAAGAACACACATAGGAAAAAAAAAATCTCACTCAAATTAATATATGAAACAAAAAAAGAAAACGCTAGGGAGCAAATTATATTAAAAAATATCAAAAAATTAAAAATATACCTCTTCACCCTTTATTTATAGGATTTGAAAGGCAACATGGAATGATATATACAATAAAAATTAAACAATATAATATTAATTATGATCATTACAAACAGTATAGGACAAATGCCATTGTGATAGGTCCCTACATAGCTCATGTCTTTATCATGACCCTCGATTCAAGGCAAGTTCCCTGATTAAGCTCTCGAGAGTGAGTATATTGGGCAAATCATCAGAATAAGTTGTAGAAATCAAGTATGCGTCGGCAAGTCCTGATGACGTAGAGGCGAGTCCATAAAAAGATGCACTTCAACCATTGGGCGCGAAGGGTGAGTCTCTTGAGGTCATGATGACCACAAGCTAAGGACTATTCAAATCTAGAGGGTCGTGGCCAAAGACCTCTATCATATGCACTCCCTATAGCAAGATTGGGGAAGTAAATAGTGAATTGATGGTTCAAATAATGTTAAGTGACCTCACAAGGCCAATCTTCATTGAGGCGAGTGCCTCGCCCGAGCTTGAATGAATATGTACGAGTTCCCCAGCTAATGTGCATGCCCAAGATGAATTCTCGATTTGGTCTATTTGAACGAGTCATGTTCCCTACTGGCGAGAGCCTTAGAAGGGCAATGTTACTAGTTTGGAGAGTTATCTTGTTGGAACTTGCTAGGTACCTATGAAATACCTACTTGGACATGTATGAATATATATTTAATTCCTCAATTCACTTGACCCTTAGAAATACAACAAATAAAAATGACAAATGAATTAATAATGAGCATCTAATTCCTCGATTCATTTGGCCCTTTGAAAGCCTAGAGGCAAAAAGAACATGTGAGATTACAACAAGCGCCCTATTTTTCAAATTAGGATAACTTCTAAATATACCCTAATGGAGACTATGTGAAGTGAGATACTGAATCTTCAAGTGATGGTGAAAATATGAGCGCAATCTGAGCAATAATTGCTTATATAACTAGCACCTAAAAATTCATGTCATTACCCCTTACGTATATATAACCCTCGCATGTTTACATAGGTGTTAACTTTTGTTATGAAATTGACCTTTGCTCTTCTCTTAAAACAAGTGTGAGCAATTATAATGGCGTCTTTTGGAAAATTCCATGTAGCTTTCATTAACACTGACTATCTACAGTCATCCAAGGTGACTACAATCTATGCTAATATGGTATATATCAACTATTGTTATGGTGACATGAACTTGTATCTATGGGTCCCAAATGAAGACAAGCACTTAAATACCTTTTTACTGAGAGGAGCTCTAAATCCCTTGCGATCACTTTTAAGTTGGGACTAAGACTCCATTCTGCAGAGAATTCACCAACATCATCAATTTCTGTAGATGGTTAAGTCATATATTGTACCTTGTAAGGGTAGTGAATGTCTACTACATGTCCAGTATGGCAGTATGTGTTATTCAGGCGACTTGCTCTTCACTAGTAGGCTGTCTACATATACTTCCAACTTCCAGTCTTTATGTTCCTTGAAGATCTGGTCTATCGTCCTTTGATATGTCACCCATTGTTTAAAATTGCGCAATATGAGGCTCGCCTTGAGGCTCGCCTTGAGGCCCGCCTTAGCACAATCCTAATGAAAATCGCCTACAGGCTTACGCCTCTAGCTTTTTTATGAGGCTTGCGCCTAACCTTGGCTGAGGCCCGCCTTGAGGCACGCCTCGCCTCGCTAGCGTGAGGCTTACGCCTCACCCTATTTGTATATTTTTTTGTTAATACTAACATAAATCACACCTTCATGCACATTCGAGCGCAACTTCTTTTCGATTGCCTTTACCACCATCCTGCGACCTTCGCCCAAGTAAACACCGTCATAGTCGTCACCAAAAATCACTTGAGAGCTGCACACAACTACCCTAAAAATTTTGGAGTATTAATCTCATATTTATGTTGATAAAAATATTTCTAAAAGATGAATATGATTGAAATAAATTTAAAAGAAACATATTTGGAGGCATTCGACTCTACCGAGTGAGGCAGAGATAGACCGATTTGTTATGCAACAACTCATATAAAGATCATCTCAGTGATGACAATGAAGATAATGTCTAAGTTGTTGCCAACTATTTAAGCTTTCATTAAGAATTAAATATTAATGAGTAGAGAATCGATAAAAAATAAAATTTGGACTTGAGCATGATGTTAAATGATACTTTTTGCAATTTCTATATTTAATATTGTTTGGACTCAATTTATTACTTGTCACTTTAGATCTTGTATAATTTTTTGTTTCATATGTATGTCAATTTGTTAATTCATAATTCAATAGGAAGTTAATATATCATCATTTAACATATTGTTTAGGTATTATATAAAAAATCACTTTTGATATTTAATATCACTTTACGCAATCTTTTGATTTTGAGGCTTACGCCTCACCTCATGAACAAAAAACGCTTCAATACCAAATTACGCAATTTTAAACATTGATGTCGCCCCAACATTCTTAAGGTTGAATAAAAAAATCTTATAGCAGTAGAAGCATTTAGTTGTTATTAATGAAGTTATTTCACAATCATTAGGGTGCACCTTGATTTTGTGATAGCTTGAGAAAGTGTCCAATAAGCTCAACATCGTGAATTCAATTGTCAAGTCTACAAGCAAGTCAATCCCGAGAAGTGGATATCCGTCTTTCAAGCATGTCAAGCTGAGGTTGGTAAAGTCAACGCACATCCTCCATTTTTAGTTCACTTTCTGCACTATGATTATATTAGAGATCCAATCAGAGTATTATACCTTTCTAATGAAGTCAGCATCAAGCACCTTTTCAATTTCATTCTTTAGGGGTTTGGCAAGTATTGAGGCCGTCTTTCTTATTTGTACTTGATTGGTTTGCCTTCTCGCTTCACATTCAGTCTATGGCAGGAAACTTCATTCTCGACATTTAGGGGAACTCTTTGCAAACCGAGACAGCACATGCGGCCTTATGTCAGCCATGTGATTTCTTCAGCAATATCTCATGATCATGGACATGAGGCCTATCATGCCTAAAAGTGAGATCTATGGGGTGAGTAGCTGAAGAAGATTCAACCACTCGATTATACTCATTAGCATTTGTATGCTATCAACGAGTTCAAGCAATTCAGTCAGTATTCTGAATTGTTGCAATCCTAGTGTATAACAAAATTGGCATTCCCTTAGGCCTTTTATTAGAGAAGCCTGCGTGATAGATGGCTCTAAGTCCTTCAATTCAAGCATCTCTTTCTGGATCCGAACAATGAAACTCCGGATTGACCTACCTAGCTCCTAGCACATCTTCAGAAGAACCTGCGAGCTTTTTTGGGGTCGCTGGGCCCTTGTGAATTAGGTAATGAACATCCTCTTAAACTCTGTAAAAGAGGCGGTCACACGTAGGGGTAGAAACGTTAACCATCAAAGGGACAGCTCATTAAAAGTGGTAAAGAATAAGCAATACTTCAATGCTTCGTCAATATCAAGCAGCAACATTATTGATTCAAAGTGACATTGTCATTGTCAGATGAATCAGTCCTCCCTCCAAAAGACTCCAAGTTAGGCAATTTAAATTTAGGATGTGATCTACCTCTACAATTTCCCTTGAGAATGCATTGATCAGTACGACTTTTATTCTTCCCACTCGATGAGGGTAATATTCTTCATCACTAGTGAGGGTACAAGTGAGATCTAAATTGGGCGTCAATGTAGCACTCTAGTTTATGGCCTTCTTTGACTCGACATTTCTCCAAGTATATCTTGAATAATTTCAATGAGCATTTTTCTCCATCTTCATGAGGTCGTGGTTATTACTGTAGTTTGGAGCATCCATAT